TTTTTTTTTTTTGCTCGGGGCCACCCCTGGTGTAACCATCCTGATTACAGCACTCAGAGACACTGTCTAGCTCCACAGAGCTGAGATCTTCTCCCTTCTGCATTCTACAGATTGTGATTATATATGTCCTCTATTCTTTATATTTTTAGGCTAAAGAGCTCTCTCTTGTAAGGAAACCTCCATCCATTAATCATATTAGTGACCTGTCTATAAACCTTCCCTGGTTCCTTTATCTCTCTGTTCAAGCTGATTTGCAGTGTTTCAGGTATGAATTCTTCATGATTTTATGTAAGGATAAGGATTTTTTTTCTTTGTTTCTAAAATGCTTTCTGATGATAGCCAGGTTTTCTTGATCACTGTGCAATGGTATTTTACCTCAGTATCTTGAGAGAACAATCTACAATGATTTGTAGATCTTTTTGGACTGATAATGATGGCCAGCAATCTCATAATGATCATTTAAACTTTCCCCCTAAAACTGAATATTGAATTTCTCTCTCATCTTTCTCCCCCTCTGTACAATCATATGGGAGCTCCATCACCTTCTATTTGCCTTTTATGACCTGGAAAATCTTAGTAATTCCTATAGCCTTGGTAATTTCACTTTTCATTTCTCTGTCATGTTATTCACAAAACTCTAAAATTGCATCAGTGACAGCATAGATCCCTGAGGAATCCCCTCAACTGTAAGAGAAGAAAAAGAGAAACTTAAAATTTAGATAACCTATAACCTAAAAGGAAATCCCTGAAACATTAAGATTTGTTTACATTCCTAGAGAAAAACCTGGAAGCTGGAATTTGCCTTGGCCATTTGTGTTCAAGGAGATGAGCGGCTTGGCTCTTGGTGAAGAAAGCTACAGTTCAGTCTGAAGGACACCATGAGGGCCAGCCAGCATCCATGTCTTGTTAGCATCAAGGCACAGTTTCATATATCAGAGGTGATGTTTAAGAGGGGAGATTCAAAAGGCTTCAGGAAAGGCTTCTTACAATTCTCATTTGTAAACAATGGCATCCTAACCTCAATGCAACTACAAATTAGCAGAGAAATGGTAAAGTGTACACATGTGTGCGCACGCACAGACACACGTTTTACAAGGTGCACACATATACACAGAAGTTTCTAGGTTTTTCCAATAAACATCTACATAAAGGTGAGTAGATTTGCACTCATCATACCAAGGAGTAAAGGAACAAATACTGAGATTTGTTTCAGTGCAACCAGTTTTAGGCCAACTTGGAGTTCAATGAAAATATGGTTGACTATATTAGTTTTAACATGTATTAAATACCAAATTGAAAAGGAAATAAGAAAACAGGCACTCATAGGTTGCCAGGAAGAATATAAGTTGGTACAACAGCATTGGAAAGCAATATGGCAATAGCTTCCAAAATTACAAATCCATAGATCTTTTGACCCAGGAGTCCCACTTCTCAAATATATATCCCGTAGATATAGTTACACATGTACAAAATGGCACAAGTACAAGAGTATTCACAACAGCATTATTTGTACAAGGAAAAGATTGGAAACAACCTGAAAGTCCATTGCTAAGGGACTGGCTAAATAAATTGTAGTACATTCAAACAAGAGAATACTGCAGACCCAAAAAGAAGAATGAGAACTCTTTTTACATATGGACATGGAAGGATCCTCAAAATAATCGTTAGTTGAAAAACAAAAACAAAGTGTGAAAGAATGCTTAAAGTGAGCTACCAGTTGGGTAAAAACAGGGAGAAGAAAGCATGTCAATATATGGATTAGACTGAACCATTCCCATTATGAAATTGCCATTATTAGGTTATTTTGACCTGCAGAAATGACTACCAATTCAATTTGGTTCCACTTAATATTTGTTTGAAGATGCATGAACTCTCTCTGGAAACACACCCTATAAATTGATAATATTGGTTGTCCTTGATGTGGGGCAGATCAGAGTCAACTAGGGGGCAGGGAGAAGATTTTTAACACTGTGACTATTAAATCATGGGGTGTACCACCTATTTAAAAATATATATCACTAAAATTATATATAAATAAAGTAAATAATGAGATGTTGCTGAGGAATATGTTCTCTTCTTGCTCTAAAATGAAACAGAAATACCATGTTTCTGCACTAAAGCAAGCAAACATTCTGGTTTAGTTTTCTCTTTCCTTCCCCTTTGCCAGAAAATTCTGAGGATAATCTTTAGATATCTTATCCAAGAAGAAAATACAGGAGCCTTTAGTGAGTTTGGGGAAAAGAAAAAAATCATCTACATCACTAACCCTGCCCACAGAGACCATCTCTGAGTATTTCTTTCTGGTGACTGCAAATTCTGAGTCTACTTTAAAGACTCAAGTCCATTAACAAATGGAACCATGAAGAAGACTGGAAGTGTTGAGCCGGATATGAATATAAATGCATTAAAAAGAAAATGGTTGAATGGATGGACCTTGAGGGTGTTATGCTGAGCGAAATAAGTCAGGCAGAGAAGGACAAATATCATATGTGTGCACGTATAGGAGGATTAGGAGGAACTTAACAGAGGACCAACCGGGAGAAGAAGGGGGGAAATGGTGGGGGAAAGGGAGAGAGGCAAACCATGAGAGACTCTTGAATGCTGACAAAAACTGAGGACTGATGGATGTGGGGGGGAGGAGGGATGGGCATGGAGGAGGGCACTTGTGGGGATGAGCACTGGGTGTTACGTGGAAACTAATTTGACAATAAACTATTTGAAAAAAAAAAAAAAAAGAAAATGGTTGAGTCTGTGTTCCTATTCTATAGAACAGTAGTTGTAGAGGACATGTTGAAAGACATTTCCTCAACTCCTTGGATGATCACCCAAAAGTTGGAAAGTCAAAAGAGAGAAGGTTACACTTAGGTTCACCTTCTAATAGGATTTGTAGGTCAAGTGAATTAAACTTTCATTAATTGAAATTTCCAAGATAGATTTCCTATATTAAGAATCAGTGCTGTTCTACTTCTCTCCAGCCAGATACTGGAACATCATGTGGGTTTACCCTCACCCTATTGCTGAACATGGGAGTTTTCAGTGAGAGGATGCAACTGGTATCACTGAATGCTGATGCATATTCAGTATTTTCTATTTTGTGAAAGAATACACGGGAAAACAACCTAGAAATTTTCTTGGGCAAAAAAAAAAGAAAATCTATGGAGGAAAGGACTTTTTTACATTTCCAAATTTATACAAATTAATTTTTCAATGTACAAAATTAGCAGCTCAAGAATTAGCTTTAAACAGGAAGTCCTACATGAGTGATGATCTGAAGAGGCGCGTATTTAAGGATGTCTGCAATAAGCAAATGTCAGGTAAATTTTCTTTCTTTTTTTTTTTAATTTTTTTTTATTTATTTCTAGGAGAGAGAGAGACAGACAGACACAGCGTGAGCAGGGGAGGGTCAGAGAGAGAGGGAGATACAGAATCTGAAACAGGCTCCAGGCTCTGAGCTAGCTGTCAGCACAGAGCCGGTCGCGGGGCTCGAACCCGCGAACCGCGAGATCATGACCTAAGCGAAAGCCGGACGCTTAACCGACTAAGCCACCCAGGCGCCCCATCTCTTTCTTTAAATATAGCTACCAAAAATCGTAAATGATCCAAAGTTCTGCTGCAGCCCTGGGAGGTCACCTATTCATTGAACAAATATATATTAAGTGCCTGCTACTGGGTATAAAACATGGCCGCTCATCACACGAGCCTGAGTGATCAAAGAGACACCAGGTTTATTTGTATTGTGTTACATGTAATCTTTTCAGATTCTTTGAAAATTGTTAACCTGATTATTAATTCAGATGTAGAGTAACTTTGCGTTCACCAGAGTGTTAAACTTACGAGCTCTTCCAGACCATTTTGTGTCTATGAGGCCTGCTGTATCTATTGTCCCATGTCTCATCCCCCACCTTGTGTGTGTCCCCTTCCCCTAATACGTTCTCTGCTCTTTTAGAGCTCTGTGCTCAGCTTCATTTCATGAGGAGTGATCACTTTTTTTTTTTTTTGGTTAAGTTTATTTATTTTCAGAGATAGCACGCGCGTGCACGCAAGCAAGTGGGGGAGGGGCAGAGAGAGAAAGAGAATTCCAAGCAGGCTGTGCACTGTGGGGGCGGAGCCTAATGCAGGCTCCACATGCGGTTCAAACTCAAGAACAGCGAGGTCATGACCTGGACCAAAGTCAGAAGCTTAACTGACTGAGTCACCCAAGCGCCCAAAGAAGTGATTACTTGTAAAATGGGTCCAAGGTCAAAATGGACTCTGCTTCCCTTGTAACAGCAGAATCGGAGACTGTTTCCTTGACAGTAGGGTGAGGTGACCTGAGAAAACGCAATTGCCTATCGAGACCCCTTCTATTTCTTTTGTACCTAGAAGTTCTTTCATGGCCTCTATCTCGGTGCGTTCTCATAATAAACCTATGTAGTAAATATGCATATACATTTTCCCCATTTACCCATGAGGCATCGAGACTCCAAGAGGTCCGTGGACCTGCCCAAGTGGTGTGACAGGGGTCAGAAGCCCGTCTCCGGAGTGACCACAGAGAGCGGCGAGAGCGTGAGGAGTGGGTCATATGCGGCAATTGTCCCCAGGTCAGGAAGCGTAGCCATGCTGTGCTGTGCCTGTCACGGCTGTGCCATACACGTGGCAGGGCTGGCCTGGAAATCTGTAAAGATGAAATGAGTGCAGTTATGTCCTGGCCAGCTTCCCTATGCGAATGTTGCCAGATATTTACTTTCATTTTGCGTTTATTTTCAATTTTCAGAGGATCTGAAATTGTACCTGTAGTTCGTGCTACACCAAACCCTAAATAATTCTGTTTTCCTGAAGGTGCTAAAGGAACTAACTTTGGCATTTAATAACAGCCCTACAATGGGATTAGTTTGTCTCTCCCCTCTGGAGAGTGCTGTACCTTGCAAATCCTGGGCAACTTTGTGGTCCTTGGCTTCTTTGAAATGGTATATATTGCTTCGTGTCTGAAAAGTAATCCAGGCCTTTCCCTTTATTTCCAGTCCACTGCTTATGCAAAAGAATTTCTTGCCACCAGTAAGAAGGAAAACGTGGACAACTTGGACACGAAGTATGCAAGTTCCACATACAGCAGAGACTTTCCAGCCAGACTCAGGGGAGAACCAGAGAAATCCCCCGTGACATCAAGCCAAGGACCAACAATCAAATACATTGCTAAATCCAATGCTGTGCCTAAAACCAAAAAGAAACTCTAAGGTTCCCTTCACAGGTGAATAGTACAAACACGGAGCTGCTCTTTTGAGCGCTAACGTGAGGAGACGGGAGGGGGAAAGGACAGGACTATGTCAAGAGCTTTTGGCCTTTTAGCCCCACTGAGCCCTGCCAAGTGTTTGCACCAGTTTAACCTCAGAGCTAGGGATCCTCAAGGCAGCCTGGTGTTAAAGGACAGCCACCAACAGGCTTGATGGCAGGCTGTGGTTGCCTTCAACTCGAGGTTTTTAAGAGTTGTTTAGAGGAGCACATGCCCTCAAAGCAAGGCGGTGGGCATACTTGCTCAGTTTTACTTCAAATTCTTGTATTTAGGCACAATTATTTGTAGGAGAGGATGAGAGCCAAATATGGTGATGGAGGTCCCAAATAATTATGTGCACTTCGCACTAGGAGATTTTGTTAGGAAATTACTAATAAACTTGCCGTAGGCATAACAGCAGAAGTGCTTCAGCCATTCACATGTGTTCTTGTGATTTTAGGTTGCTATAGATTATTTAAGACAACTTATTTTAGATGTAGAAGAATAGGAGATTTTGTAACTGCTTGCTATTAAGTTGCTGCTAAATTCCCAATATATTGATTGAATCAATAAAAGACAGATGTTACCCATGCACGTTAATTTTTATGTTAACGAGAGGTGGATATAATCAGGTCCTCTAAGCCCTTATGCAAATTAAGAGTTTGGCCTGCTTCTCCAAAGGTAGGCACATATCTTTGGTGAAGGTCACGAGGTGGATACAGGGGAAAATACATCATTACTCTTGGCGTCATAAGGATCTCCTTTCCACCAGGGAAATCCTTTTGCCTTTTGAGGTCAAACTGGGTGAATAGATGCTCTGCTTGGCCTTCCAAACAAATTCTAAGGAAACAATCTGCATTTGCTTTTACCTGTATAAAGTAATACTCTAGTATTCATTCCACCTCCGTCCATGGGACTGCCTTAGACTTCCAAAATGACCCACCCCTGGCCTGCTGAGCATATACTTAGTTGCATATAAATCCACTCAGTGGCTAATGGTAATAGAAGGACTTCTTGTGATTAATTTGGAAGACACTGTCGTACTTCTAAGTGGGTCAGAGGTAGCACCAACATGCGCCGTCCCTGGCTGAGCAGCTCTTTCAGGATCTTCTTAGTGCCTACAGTGTGCTTCCCCTGGGGGAATCTGCTGGCTAAAGTGTACCTGGTTTACATCGTCTAGACTTTACTTTAAAACTGGAGTTGGTGTAGCTTCTTCAAGGTCTCTCTCCCTTCAGGAGCCTGCAAACCATCTCCTGAGCTTTCAGCCTCCTCTCGGGGTTTAGTGAGCCAGTCTTTGAGGAGTATGTCCTGTTTATCTGCTCAGAAGCCTGGCCTCATTAGCTAAGTGGAGATTTCTCCTCCCCGGTGGTGCTCCCAGAGGCAGAGGTAATAGCGGGCCGCTGGCCTCCTTGCAGAAAAGCCGGCTGACACAGTGGCTTTGATTCTGTCCATCCCCTGAGGCTGAAAATGGAGTATCTAAAACGCTCTTACTTGCACAGTGATGCAGTCTTTTGTATCACGTATTGGATAATTCAGATGTTAAATTTAATATTATCCAAATTTCTGTCCACATTGCTCCTTGGTCTTAAATTAGTGATTCCGCTCAGTGAGCTTGACCAAAGGTCCAGAACTAAGCAGTCAGTGAAAGGTGAAGTCATTTAATAACTTTTATTGTGTTGGCACCTTTGCCCTCCCCAGCGCCAGGCCGGGCTGACTATCCTTCCCACTGCAAACTCATTCTATCAGCCTTCATCTGTCTAGGCTTTCATTTTATTTATGTAGAATCATTTTGATAGAAGCTGAGCCCACTCTTTCTAAGGGGAATTTTCACATTATTTGTATTTGTTATTTATTTGTGTGAAACTGCTAGGCCAGGCCAGGTCTGAGCTCTTTTCTCCCAATGACTGTACCTCTTTATTTACTATCTGGGACTATATGGCCTTGCTCCCTTCATTGGCTTTCATGGCTCTGAAAAAAGTAGCTGTTCTGTGTTGGGATGGTTTTCGGGGACCAAGAGGCCAACTCCAAGGCACTGGTAACCATCACTCTGACACCTCGTACGCACCGCGTGGAAGGCTGGGCTTTGCAGGACCCAGAGGGACACCAGGACCGTGCAGAGCAGGTGTTACTGCCCAGACACGCACATGCTGATCGCACTCCAACTTGAATAACAGACAAGGCAAGGCAGGAGATAAAATTGATAAGTGTAGGCTTGGGGCTGAGGAGAGGTTCAGCTGAGGAGAACAGAAGATGCTATCAGAAAAGAGCTTAAATCAGAGGAGAAGGGGAGATGGGTTGAAGGGAAGGAGGCAGAAGTATAAAGACTAAAAGAAGACTGGATGACAACACACGGTTCTGCCAAACTTGGACCAGGAGTCAGAGGAGGGAAGCACGCAGAGTCCTGGCTCCAGCTCCGTCTGAGGTAAGCTCTCCCCTCCCTGGCCGGTACCCGGGCACACCCGGATGTAGACTCAGGCTGCAGAATGCAGACCAGGGAAACAGAGGCTGAGAGAGGCTGTGATGTGGGCCACAGAACACCCCTTACGCTCTGAGAGTAGGAATGTTCTGTGGTGTTGGGAGGGGAAAGAAGAAGAAAGGAAGAAAAAAAAACCCACCAAAACATTTTGTGCTTATCACTGAAATGCTTTGTTTAAATAATTCTATTTGACTCCAAAATGTAAGTTCCAGGTTAGACACATCAAAAGCAGCCAGTCTTGAAAATGAAGCTTTTTAAATTCCAGCCCTGCTGTTGGACTAGAGAGAATAAAGGCTTTGTTCAAACATGCATTCCCAGCAGTCAGCAGAGCTCTGAAATTGGCCACGGAGGTTGTGTCCTATCGTGGTTGCACTTGGCTGGAGACCAAGAAGCTGTGGCCTCTGGGAAACGACCCCGGGCTGACTGATTTCCATGTGCCCCTCCAGAGCCACTCTGCCCTGCTTTGCCCTGTCCACTCTGAGGGGCTGGTCTTTAGGGCTCGCGTTAACAGTCTCTCTGGGCCTCTGGATATGTTGGGCTTCTGTCGGTGGGAAGCACCAACAGGACATCGGAGACTGAGAGAGGCGAGGGCCAGTCATCGATCCCGCCATGGCCTTCCATGCTGGGCTGCTGGGGAGTCACGGTAGTCTCATTCTGCAGGCCCCGGCACCTGCTGGCAGCCCCTCCAGGCCAGGACCAGGGGCTATTGCCCTGGGTACTATGTCTTCCTTTGTGGGTTTCCCTAGCTCTCTCAGTACCTTTATAAATAGTCTCTTTGTTGAACTCTCGACTACCCCATTTGAGTGTACCATTTGTCTCTTCCTGGGACCCAGAGTGATCCAGACCCTTTCTTGTCAGCTCTGCATTGTTCTTTGACCTGGGGCAGTTTTGTCTGTGGTTGCTGACCTCCTACCGAAAAGCAGTAAAGTGAAGAGCAAAAAGCCTAAATGAATCCTTCCTGAAGCAAACTGGTGCACCTGGGTGGTCACCAGCTAGGGCTGAGGGAGGCGATGGCAGAGGAGATGTCCCAGGGTTGGACCTAGCCAGAGCACAACACATCTAGCATTACGCAACCGAATCTGAAATTGTCTAGATCTTGAAGGTTCACGTTTAAGTCTTACATTCTAGTCGTGGCTTTCGGAGCATAAAGAACTTGTGGTTCGCCTGGGTGGCTCAGACGGTTAAGTGTCTGTCTCTTGGTTTCGGCTCAGACCATGATCTCCCTGTTGGCGAGTTCAAGCCCTGCCTTGGGCTCTGTACTGGCATGTGGAGCCTGCTTGGGATTCTCTCTCTCCCTTTCTCTCTCTGCCCCTCCCCAACTCAAGTTCTCTCTCTCAAAATAAATAAGTAAACTTAGGAAAAAAAAAAAGGAAAACATTCTCTAAGAAGCAAGCAAGCAAGCAACACTTGTAACAGCTAAGGGGACCTCTGGCCTGGGACACTGTCTCCCGGCTGGGCTGGAGGGCTTGGCAGAGACTTCCACTGGGAGCCTGTGGTGGCCAGGAAGCACAGGCAACCTGCAGACAAGCCTTCTCCCCGGGGCCATGTGTTTCATCTCTGCAAGCACTAACATCACTTTACAAAGCATTTTCAAGTAACATGTTCCCTCTTCAAAGGCCTCATATAGTTCAGCTTTACTCTTCAAGACCCTGTATTTTTCTGAGTGAGCTGGCTTAGAATTGGTTTTGATTTCTGTGCACTGCATTGTTATCACTTAATTCCCATTGGTGAGCCAATTTTCTTTGCTTCTGTTCTTCAAAAGAAGGCCACGTTCAGTGTCTTGCATTTTTGTGGCTTCCTTCCTCAGTTGCTGGTATAATCAGCTCCACTCAGTTCCCTGGGTGTCAGATTTTCTCATTTCCCTAAATTATCTGGAGCGGCCCTCAGCAGAGTGGTAGGGATTTCTCCTTCCGGCCCAGCGGCCTCACCTCAAGCAGCAGGGCATGTGTGTCGGTGGAAAAGACAGAGGGGAAAACAGGGCCACTGCAGTGTTTCCGCCAGCTAGCTCAGCGACAACCCTCTCTGTTGCCTGGTGCCATCCCAGACATCTAAGGTCTCACTCAGGCCCCATAATGGCCCCTCGAGAGGCCATAATGGCCTACAACCCTGTGAACCTTCTCTAGGGTTCTCTTGGACTCCTGCTCAGATGACATGTTTTTTGGGGCCTTTGTTCTAGTTTATCTGGGTCTTTTCCCAAAATGAACCCTGCTTCCACATGTGGCCTGTGCCCCCTAGGCCTCTGGGCCCTGGTCCCTAAAACTGGGGCCTGTCGTGTTTACATTTGCAAGAATTTGTGGACAGCCTGGCTTGAGTTTACTAGCAAAGCCCTTAATGATGATGCAACCCTGAAGCACATCTATTTTCCTATCGACGTCCTTGTGGCAGACTCTCAGTGACCACAAAAGAGGCCTTTCCCAGTGTGATAGCAACGGGGAGTGACAGAACGTGCCTGGTTTGGATCCGAGGTATGGGGCCCTAAGATCACCCAGGAAGACGAACTCGTTTTCCTTTGGTGTCTGTCTCTCTAACTACCACTGAGATGTGGAGAGGGGCGAAGGCACAAACCGAGTCACAGGCCTGTCGTGGACCTGCCAAATAGGACAAGATACCCTCTGTGTTTCGTAGCCTCCCCTGCCACAGGGACACATGAACATCTCTGCCTACATAAATGGCTCCAAGCCCTCCTCCAATGTTACTAGCAGGAATCTGAGTCTTTGTCAGAGGATTCCCTGCCCAGACCTCTCTAGAATTTCCAGGGGTAGTCACACGTATCCTTGTGGCTCTTTGCCAGCTCAGATAGGGCACTTGAAACCAAAGCGTCCCTTCTCATGTCCCTGCCTCTCACTTTTATCTCCAGACCTCCTGCTTCCCCAGCTTCTGCATAGCTCCCGGGGTGCCATGTGTCCAGAGCAATGATGGCTGACCCCAAATTCCAGGTTCCACCCAGATGTGACAGAGCAGCCCAGGCCTTGGGTCCTGGCATGCCCCTTATTGCAGGGTGTCCCTCATCCATCCCCCAATGTGGACTCAGCTTTGCGCTGCGGGTGGATGTAGGTGGTAAGGGGGTGCTGGGGTACATGTGATGTAGGATGTGGGATGGGGGTGGGTTCCTGGGAAACAGTGT